CCCCCCGGCGCCCCCCCCAATCCCTTTAAGGCCCCTATAGGGCCCTGGGAGCCCCTACAGATGCCATGGGGAGCTCATTAACCCCCTCTCGACTCCTATGACCCCCCTTAGGGTCTACAACCCCTCCCACCAGGCCCCTATGGATCCTATAGGTCCCCTGCAGGTCCTATCACCCCCCCAGACCCCAATAAATTCCTCACTGGTTCCTACAGACCCCCAGACCTCCCCTATACACCCCCCTAACCCCCCCCAGGTACCTATAAATCCCCTACAGACCCCCCAAAACCCTCTAGAGACCCCCACGATCCCCCAATAACCCCCAAAGACCCCAATCCCCCCCCCAAAACCCCCTCAGACCCCCCCACAATCCCCTATAGACCCCATAGGGTCCCATGGGGGTCTCGGCCGCCCTCTGGTGGTCGAGAAAGGAAACGGGAATTGGGGAGGGGGTCCCAGGAATTTGGGGGGGGGGGTCCTTGGGTTTTGGGGATTCAGAGCTTTGGGGGTCCCAGGGTTGGCTTTTTTTTGGGGGGGGTCCATATGGAAACAGGAACTTTATTGAGCCGATACAAAACCCCCGACTCAGCAAATGCCCCCAAAGAGCCCCAAAATCAACCCCGACCCCCCCTCTGCCCCTCCCCCACCCCCAAAAAGGGGTCCCGGGTGTGTCCGGGGGGGTCCCGGGTGTGTCCGGGGGGGTCCCAGGTGTGTTTGGGGGGGTCCCAGGTGTGTTTGGGGGGGGGTCCAGGAGCCCAGTCTAAGCCCCCCCGCCCCCCCAGAACTGGGGCCAGGGGGGGGTCCCAGTGCTCCCAGTACCCCCCCCCAGCCCCCCCAAACTGGTGCCAGGCTCAGCTCCCAGTAAAGTCCTACTGGGAGATGGTGCCCGACCCCGGAATGGGGGGAAATCTTGGAGAAACGGGCAAAAATTTGGGGTGGGAGGGGGGGGATCGCTAGGAATCGTAATCTTCGTCCTCCTCCTCTTCCTCCCGGGCGCGGGGGGGGCCGGGGGCTGGGGGAAGCCCCCCCGGGAGCCCCCCCGGGAGGCTGGGGGGGCCCAGGGGGGCGAAGGGAACCCCAGGGCTGCGGGAAAAGGTGTCAGTGAGGGGGGGAGAACCCCCCCAAAAATCCCCCAACCCCCCCCCCCCAAAGCCCCCCAGGAATATGGGGGAGGGGCACCCCCGATCCATCCAACCCCCCCTGAGAGACCCAGGTGGGGAGGGGCACCCGAAACCCCCTCCCCAACCCCCTCCAAGAACTCAGGTACGGGGGGAACACCCCAAAACTGCCCCCAAGCAGCCCCAAAAACGGCCCCAGGTGTTTCCTGACCCCCCCCAGACCCCCCCCAAACCTCACCTGGCGAAGGTGAGGGGGGGCGGGGCCGGGGGGGGCTGCGGCGTCTCCTCGTCCCCGTCGCTGTCGCTGTCCTCAGAGTCCTCCTGGGGGGGCCGGGGGGGCCATCAGGGGACCCCAGACCCCTCCCCATCCCCAGGGGATCCCCAAAACCCCCCCAGAGGGTCCCAGAAACCCCAAATCCCCCCCAACTCGCCCCCACGGAGGTGACCCCACAACCAGGTACGGCCCCCCCTCGCTTCAGGGGGGACCCCCAAACTCCCCCCGAGTCCCACAAAGCCCCCCCAGCCCCCCCCAGAGGAGATTCAGGGGCCCAGGTGCCCCCAAAACCCCCCCAGGACCCCCCAAATCCCCCCCCCCTCCTGCTCCGAGTCTGTCCCCGACTGTTTCGGGGTCCCCTTGGCTCCGGGACCCCCGTTCTTGCGGCCACTGCCCGGGCGGCGCCCCCTGAAAGAGACCCCCCCCCATCAGAGACACCCCCAGACCCCAAATCCCCTCCTGACCCTCCCCTCAGGGAGCTCAGGTGTGGTGAGGCCCTCCCAGGTGTGTCCCAGAGGAACTTGGGGGGTCCCCCAGGTGTCCCAGGGTGTCCCCCAGGTACCCCAGGATCCCTCCAGGTACCCCAAGACCCCCAAGTACCCCAGGACTCCCCCAGGTGTCCAGGGCCGTCCCAAAAGTACCTCAAGGTGTCCCTCAGGTACGCCACCACCTCCCTCAGGTGCTCAAGGGGGCCCTCAAAGGTCTACAGGTGTCCCCCAAATACCCCAGGGTGTCCCCACAGTCTGCCAGGGGTGTCCCCAGGTACCCAGGGCTGTCCCCAGGTGTCCCCCAGGTACCCAGGTGTGACCCCAGGTGTCCCCCTGGTTCCCCAGGTGTCCCCCAGGTACCCAGGAATGTCCCCAGGTGTTCCCCAGGTACGCAGGGTTGATCTCAGGTGTCCCCCTGGCTTTCCCAGGGATGTTCCCAGGTACCTGAGCATGTCCCCAGGTGTCCCCCAGGTACCCAGGTGTGTCCCCAGGTGTCCCCAGGTGTGCCCAGGTGCTGCCTCACCTGCGGGGTCCCCTCTCGCCGTCGCCGTGGGGGTCGTCACCGTCCCCCTGCATGTCGGGCACGGCGGCCACCAGGTCCTTGAGGAAGTCGAACTGCTGCTCCAGCTCGATGCACTGCTTCCTGTGGGCGGGGCCTCAGACCACGCCCACACCTGCCCGGCCACGCCCACAGCCTATCCGGCCACGCCCAACACACCCGGGACTGGCTACACCCATCCGGCCACACCCATCCAACCACACCCACCCAGACAGAGCCAACACACCTGGGACTGGCCACACCCACCCAGCCACACCCACCCAGCCACACCCCATTCTGCCACGCCCAACACACCTGGGGCAGGACACACCCATCCGGCCACACCCAACACACCTGGGGCAGACCGCACCCACCCATCCACACCCAACACACCTGGGACTGGCTACACCCACCCAGCCACACCCAACACACCTGGGACTGGCTATACACACCCAGCCACACCCAACACACCTGGGACAGACCACACCCACCCAGCCACACCCAACACACATGGGACAAACTACACCCATCCAACCACACCCATCTGGCCACACCCACCCAGCCACACCCAACACACATGGGACAGACCACACCCATCCAACCACACCCACCCAGACAGACCCAGCACACATGGGACAGGCCACACCCATCCAACCACACCCATCCAACCACACCCACCCAGACACACCAACCACTCCCGGGGCTGGCTACACCCACCCGGCCACACCTGACCCACCTGGGGCAGGCCACATCCAGCACCCAAAAGGTGCCTCAGGTGTGTCACAGGTCCTTCCCCACCTCCCAAAGGTGCCCCAGGTGTGCCAGACAGGTGGGGACAGGTGAGGCACTCACAGGTGTGACGTCGTCATGGTTTTGGCGTTGCGGGACTGGGTCACGTGACAGGCCTTGCGCAGCAGCGACTCCAGGAACAGCTCCAGCGCCCGCGCTGCCACGCTAAGGACGGCCAGGTACACAGGTGACACCCCGGGGACACAGGTGACCCCTCGCCGGGGACACAGGTGACACCTCGGGGATGCAGGTGACACCCTGGGGACACAGGTGACCCCTCCTCGGGGACACAGGTGACACTCCCAGGGACACAGGTGACACCCCGGGGACACAGGTGACCCCTCGCCGGGGACACAGGTGACACCTCGGGGATGCAGGTGACACCCTGGGGACACAGGTGACCCCTCCTCGGGGACACAGGTGACACTCCCAGGGACACAGGTGACACCCCGGGGACACAGGTGACACCCCAGGGACAGAGGTGACCCCTCCCCGGGGACACAGGTGACTTTCCCCTCAATGTCCCTGAGGTGTCCAGCATGGGCAGACTCAGGTGTATCACAGGCAGGGGCACCTGGGGGGCCGAGCTGTGCAGGGTGGGGCTGCCCAGGTGAGCAGGGAAGGGTCCCAGGGGTGTCCAGGTGAGCAGGGAAGGGTCCCAAGGCTGCCCAGGTGAGCAGGGAAGGGTCCCGAGGCTGCCCAGGTGAGCAGGATGGGGACCCAAGGGTGCCCAGGTGAGTAGGGCGGGGTCCCAGGGGTGCCCAGGTGAGCAGGGAAGGGTCCCAGGGGTGCCCAGGTGAGCAGGGCAGGGTCCCAGGGGTGTCCAGGTGAGCAGGGCGGGGTCCTGGGGCGGGGCCCAGGTGTGCCAGAGGATACAGATGATGACGGGCACGGCAGCTGCCACCTTCCCGATCTCTTCGTCCGTCTGCATGATCTTCTTTATCCGCGCCTGCCACAGACCCCGCCCTCACCTGAGCCTCACCCTCACCTGAGACCCCCTCACCTGGAGAGCCCCGCCCTCACCTGAGCTCCCCTCACCTGAGGACCCTTGCCCCCACCTGAGCCCCTCACCTGCAGAGCCCCACCCTCACCTGGAGAGCCCCGCCCACCCCAGGCCACGCCCCCACCTGCACCCTCAGGTGGCTCCCGCGCCCC